TACGTTTATTAAACATTTTGTTAATTTAAGCTTTCATATCAAGCACGCACACGCAGACACACACACACACACACACACACACACACACACACACACACACACACACACACACACACACACGTACACACACACACACACACACACTTACACACACACACACGCACGCACGCACAGACAGACACACACACAAACACACACACACACACACACACACATGCACACACACATATATGTAAGTATATATGTATGTATGTAATTGTGTGTACAATTAGATAGATGGAAAGGTAAATAGATAGATAAACAAACAGACAATTTGATAAACAGGTAAATAGATGAGTTCATAGGAAAAAGAAAGAAAGATAGATACACAATACAGATACACAAATAGTTACATGCATAAACAGACAGACAGATAAACATGGACAGATAGATTCTCACACGCACACACGCCACTCGAATCATATTTTTCATTTTTCTTTTCTTTTGTCTCTTATTCATCGTTACGTACTCTGCACAGAATGGGAAATCTCTTACCACTCTCCGTCGTACAAACTGTCCAGGCAGAGTTCCACACTGTCGTACCAGCACAAGTTCACTGCCACATCCTCGGACACGTAGTGCTGCGTTCTCGAGTAGATGTCGAATTTGTCAAATGTTAACACAATGACATGATTCTCTGGCGCCTGAATGAACTTCGAAAATCGGATCTCTAAAAGCGTACGGAGAAGTTTATCAATGAGATATTATATATGAATCTTTATATAAATAAATAAATGAATATATATGTCTATATATATATATATATATATATATATATATATATATATATATATATATGTATATATATATATATATATATATATATATATATATATATATATATATACATATACACACACACACACACACATATATGTGTGTGTGTGTGTGAAACCTTTAAAAGTCTTTTCCCTAACCCTTCGCTATATACTGTAGGAGATCTTATAGAAATCGAAATACTATTAACAAGTATTACTCCTGTTTTGCCTGTGTAAATAAGTGGTCATACAAAAACGAGAACCGGGGAGGAAGGGAGCCAATGACTGAGGATGATATGAACTAAGGCAAATGTAAGTGAAAAGGAAAAAACGCGAGCATTGCAAGGAAAGGAGTTTACAAGGTATACAATGCACAACAAAACAAAGTGACAAAAAATCAGTGCTTGGAGATGAGATGCTGGCCATAATCTCTCCCTCATCGTTGTCAATTAAAGGAATATAATCAAAACAAACTTTACCCTTAGCCACATATGATATCTGAAAATAATGTATTAGAGAATAAGATTTTCTTTTAGCACCAAACGAGCAAAATTGTGTGAAGACTCCGTTGCCCCTTGAAACAGAAGATTTTATACCCCTTTAATTCGAAATAGTTCCATTTTGCGACTTCGCATTTCGCGAGCTCTTTTTAGAACCAATAACTCGTCAAATGCGAGGCTTTTCTGTACCTACGGTAGTGTGCAGACCCAACCATAACCCAGCTTTAATTCAGGCTGGTTATTAGGTTGTTGTAGGGAAGAGCACTTCCAGAAAACAAGGAGAAAATGGCAAAAAGGGCTTCTATGAAAACCAGTGTTGCAATCAGACTACAATGTTAATTTCTTGCATAAAGATGCAATTTCAGTATGAAATGTCTTAGTGGGATACTAGGTTCAATTAAAATGGAATAATGTGCACATCTTCTGGCAACAGTTTTTGAGCTAAATACCTCAACATGGGAGCGTAAAGGGCAAAATTATTGATCTATGGTTTACTGTATGTGGTTTTTGTATACAGAACTCTTCATTTTCCTTTTATAAAAATACCCAATTTTGTGTGCATGTGAACAATTAACAAGTAGAGATATTAAAAATCCGCTGGTTTTGTTTTGAAATATTTAGTTCAAAATGAGCTGTCAAAAGATATATACAAGGAGTAGAGAGAAAAATAGAATTGTAAAAACCACAGTGCTCTTGCTAAATAAAATGAAATTGAAATTAATATAAAATACACGGCCCCTTGAAACGGCGAAAAAAAAACAGATTGCATATTTTTAAAAATGTGCTTCAGCGAAATGTTTTGGCCAATATTAATTAGCTTGTCATTTAAATATATTTGCTGTACTTGCCTGTAGGGTCATCCCATAGAGATCTATAGACCGACGGTGAGGCGATCGTGGTGGGCTCCGTGATGATTTCTGATAATGGCATCAAGCAGTTCCCTAAAGCATATGGAGAGGGTATGTATTAGAAAGTACTGTAAATAATCGCCATTGTAATAACTCACTTGACTTTGGGAGACCATGCACGAGGCCTTTAAATGAAAACGTTTTGTATTATTGGTTAAAATCGCCAATTACTTGGTACTATGTTGTGGTCTTAAATGTACGATGTTTGACCCCCCCCCCTAAAAAAAAATCAAATAGTTATAAACCACTAACCGTGATAGGTACTAGTCATCGTTTCACAGAAGTCTCCACTTGT